CAAAAAAAAAAAAAAACCCCACAAACCAAACCAATCCAAACCCTCACACTAGTAACTGCAGTATGTATGACTGTGACCAGTAGAAACCAGGCTTCGGAGCCCCTGGAACTAGAGTTAACAGAGTTGCTAGCTGCCATATGGGTGCTGGTAACCGAACCCAGGTTCTCTGCAAGAGTTGCCAGTGCTCTTAATCACTGGGCCATCTCTCGAGCCCTGATAACTTGTTAATGTCTTAACTGTTTTCCCCACTGGACTGAAAGCTCCTTGAGGATGGGGACCAGGACCATCTTGTCCATTGGTGCATCCTTAGCACATCACAATGCCTGGCTTTTAGTAAGAGCTCAACAAATGCTGGATGAATGAATGATTGGCTTGAATATAAAGTATGCCTCATCAAGGATGGTCTGTTTCCACCAAGGAATCTTGAAGATGGAAACATTTCCTTATCAAAGATAAAAAAAAAAAAAAAAAAGCAAAAAGACAGGCACAGGGTTCCTATTGTAGATCCAAGAGCTCTCCTTGTGATACTTCTGTGTAGTCCCATTTACTCTACTGGCCAAGAAAGCTAATGGGGCTCTTTCTTCAGAGTGTTAAAAAAAAACCTGAAGAGAAATGATCACCCGTTTGGACCCTTTTAAGTTCAGTTAGAAGATTTGCTCTTGGAAGAAGTGTGTTGACATGCATGAAGGTTAATCTCAACTGTCAACTTGATGAGATCTAGCATCACCTGGGAGACAGGCCTCTGTCGCTGCCTATGGAAGATTATTTTGATTAAGTTTATAGAGGTTGGAAGACCTGCCCATTGTGGGTAGCACTATTCCCTGAGCCGGAATCCTGGACTGTGTAAAAAGAAAGTGAGCTGAGCACAGTATTCATTACTGTCTGCTTCCTGGCTGTGGATGTGATGTGATTCCACCTGTTGTCACCTCCCCAGTGCTGGGATTACTAGTGTGAACCTAGGGTACACCTAAGTATGTTGTTATTAAATCAATCTCAAAAAAAAAAAAAAAAAAAAAAAAAGTTCAAGGCTAAACTGGGCAACACAGCAAGACCTTGTCTCAAAATAAAATCTTTTTTAAAAGGCTAGGATGTAGCTCCTTGGCAGAGCACTTGCCTGACATACGTGAAGCCCTACGTTCAATCCCAGTTAACCCCACCCCCATACACACACAAACTATTCTTCCCTAAGCTATAGTGGCTGATTGCAAATATTTAGCACACATAACTTAAGTTTCAGCACTTCAGCACATACTGCCTTCTTCTGGAAACAGAGAAAGTATTTTCACATTCTGCTATAATACTGTTAAGGCTGAAACTTTAGAGTGAACTACTTGCAGTAGCTAGTCTCCAAAAATGGCTCTTACTTCCATTTCCTGGCACTTCACACCCTTGCACTGTCCCTTTCAGACTAGGCTATAGTTGGGTCTGTGTGACCAATAGCACATGACAAAGCAATGGCCCTCTCATTTCTGACAGTAGGGTTTAAAGACCACAACAGCCACCTTGGACAGCTTTTTTCTTACCCATTCTGGGGATGGGGGAAGTCTGCCATGTTGTGATTCTATGAAGAGACTGCATGTTATGAAGTGGAGGCCTTCCAACAAGCACATGAGTGAGCTTGGACATGCCAGCCCCAGTGGAGCCTTGAGATGACTATAGTCCTGGATAACAGTTTGACTTCAACCTCTTGAGTAACTCTGAGATAGAAATCCCAATCAAGCCACTCTTAGATACTCAGTCCTCAGAAAATACATAGTTGCTGTTTTAAGCTGGTACATTTTGAGGTAATTTGGTAATGATCAATAGATAATAACCACTTAGATGCTAAAACATTTTTCCACTTTAAAAAAATTTTAAAGGCTACAACAAATAAAGAATACAGAAATAGGTATTTCCCATAATCGTACTATATAAGAATTATTTTACTCGTGAAAATATGAACAATAAAAGAATAAATCTTCAAAGCATTACTAAAATATCAAAATCTAAAACAGCATACCTTTGTAGAACTTCATCACAGGTGAGTTCCCGGTAAAGATGAACTTTACTACTTGTCAAAAGTAATTTTTCTTCAGTGTTAAAATATCTAGGAAAACGGGATTCTGCCATCTCAACCAGTCTATGGAGGAGTACAAGAGAAAACAATCACAAATACTCAAAGTCACACTACTGAGGCTCCAGTGAATTTTACTTTGGAAACTCCTGAGACATCAATACAGTTGATACAGCCAAAAGGCCCTTTGTACATGTGAATGGAGGTTAGCTGTCAGCACCAGAACAGCAAAGTTCTAGGTATCATCAAATTTTGAGCAAGCAACAATGTCTCCATGATTTAGTTTTCTGGAAATTAATGTGTTTATAAATCATTTTTGTCTGGCAGCTATATTAACATATTTGCAAATAAGAAACTGCTTTCATTTGCTTGAATGAACAAAGTCTATTTGAGCAAATAAAGTACATTATCGTACTGATAATCATACATAAGTTCTCATGTCTCACTGAAGGAAATATGCTTTCTCAATTAAAATTTAATGCTCTCTTAGGGGCTGGAGAGATGGCTCAGCAGTTAAAAGCACTGACTGCTCTTGCAGAGAGGACCCAGTTTCGATTCCCAGCACCCACATGGAGGCTATGAACCGTCCTTAACTCCAGTTCCAGGGGACTCCAAAGCCCTCTTCTGACCTCCATGGCATTGCATGACACAGGTGCCCTCACATACATGCAGGCAATACACTCATACACATAAGATAAAAATAATAAATAAAATATTTTTAAAATTTTAATGCTCTCTTAATAAATTCTGTTGCTTAGGAAACAGAAAATTATTCTCTGAACAAACAAATGCTATCCAGTGACTTCTTGATCTAAAAAACGTTTTCTAATCACTGACTTGAAGTCCCAAAGCTAACCCTAATAATATGGGGTAGGCCAAGTGCAGAAGAGTGACAAGTTGAAACATCATGTAGCAGAACAGAATAAGACACAGAAAGCATTACTAGAAATTACAAATGCATAGGATTTAAAATGTTAAAAATAAAATTCTTTGAGTGTAACTGTATCCCAATTAAAATGATGCTTGGTCAGCCCTGGTATTTAGCCATCCTGGAAGGCTTGGAGGAGCAACTGTAAACACTAAAACAATCTTATATTTTATGTTCATTTAGAGACTCCAAAGTTCAAAAGAGCAGTATTTTCCTCTCCAAACAGTTACAGGGTTCTGAGAAGAGACTAAGGACTTTAGAGAGATAAACAGAATAAATTCCTTACATATGCTATAATCAGAAATGAGAGGGGAAAACCTAAAACAAGAAAAAAGAAGATAAAAATAAACGTATTCAACTTTCTTGTTTTGTTTTGCTTTGTTTTTTGAGACAGGGTCTCCCTGTAGCTCTAGCAGGCCTGGAACTCACTATGTAGACCAGGCTGGCCTTGAACTCACAGAGTTTCGCCTGCTTTTGCCTCCTAAGTGCTTGGATTAAAGGTGTGTACCACCCAGCCCAGCTCAACAACTTTCTTAAAGTACATTTTGAATAAATTGAAAAGAAAACATAATTTGGTTGAATAAAAAGCAGTTAAAAAATACTTTAAGAATAAGAATAGTATTCAAAGAGGGGTACAGAGTGGAAACAAAAAACAAAACAAAGCACTTGACCCTGCAGAAGTGCTGAACAGAGACACAGGGATTGAAAAGGAAGAAGAGCGGGAAGCAAGAAAATGCAAGAAGGAGCCCAGTGTGGTGGCGCACACCTTTAGTCCCAGCACTAGGGAGGCAGAGGCAGGTGGAGCTCTGTGAGTTCAAGGCCAGCCTGGTCTACATAGTGAGTTCCAGGACAGCTGGGGCTACAGGGAGATCCTGTCTCAAAAAGACAAAAAAAAAAAAAAAAAAAAAAAAAAAAAAGCAAGAAGAAATGCTTTGGCCATAGCACAGCTGAATGGCTAATTCTGAAGTTTGGTAAAAATGCATAATTTTTATTATTATTACGGCAAATATTCATTGACTTTAGTATCAGTTAGAGAAGTCAGCGAAAAATCTCTGGTACTTGTAACCCACCAGTTTTTCAAAAGGACAGGTATAGCAACATCAACTAGAGAAATTTCTCAAAGTTTGGATATGCAGCTGACAGAAGCCAGGCTGAGAACACCTAACTTGCTGGTGACGGTGTAACAGTAGGCACAACACACTGTGCCCTCCAACACGAGGTTGGAGTTCAACTAGAGAAAGGTGAAAGGTTCTGAAATTCATTGCTGCTTTCTTACTCCACTAAGCCTTCTCAGAAGGAATAGTGGTCAGTGTACTACCCTGATAAACAACTGTGTTGGACAGTTATCAATTTACCAATATGCTAAAATTTTCTGTGAGTTTCTCCAAATGATTTTTACTTTATAAAAAATTCTCAAAAATATAAATCAGGGGCTGAGAGATGGCTCAGCAGCTAAGAGCACTGACCACTCTTGCAGAGGACCTGGGTTCAGTTCCCAGCACCTATAGGCCAGCTGGTGACAGTCCTTAACTAGTTTCAGAGGATCAATTCTCCTCTTCTGTCCTCCATAGGCACTGCATGACATGGGGGTACTTATATATATATGTAGGCAAAACATTCGTACACATAAGATAAAAATAGACAAATCAATCACCACATGGTGGTACATATCTTTAATCCCAGCACTCTGGAGGCAGAGGTAGGTGGATTTCTGTGAGATCAAGGCCAACCTGATCTATATAGCAAGTTACAGACCAGCTGGCCTGCAAGGAGACCCTGTCTCCAATATAAATCTCAAAAGCTAAGTGTAAATATATAAATTGATAATGCTGCGTATTAATCCCAGTGATTTCACAAAGATCTTGTTTTCTTTAGGGCAAGCAAGAGCAAAAGACCTATCTTTTGTGCTGGCATAATCACATAAAGCTTGAAAACAGTGCCATCTAGTGGACATCTTTTTATAAAACCTATTCATTTGAGCTGGGTATTGTGGCTTGCACCTTAGGAGGCAGAGGCAGAGGTTGACCTCTGTGTATGGAGGCCTGCCTGGTCCACATAGTGAGCTTCAGGCAGCTGGAACTAGGGAGACCCTGTCCCCAAAAAGTATTCATTTGAAAAGACGCATTTAAAATTCATTAATTCAAGATTTACTGAGGACTTACAACATGTGCATAGGTGCTGAGGACATGGTAATATAATATCAAAAGAAAAAAGAAAAAGAGCTATATGTGGTAACACACACCTTTAATTCTAGCACTCAGGAGGCAGAGGCAGGCATATCTCTGTGAAATCAAGGCCAGCCTGGTGTACATAGTGAGTTCCAGGCAAACTGGGGTTCAGGAAGACCCTGTCTCAAAAA